ACAAAAAACGTGTCAATATTCCTCCATACTGCTCGTCCAATGTATTCCAAGTGTCCTGAGTGGGTAGCGTCCATAATTTACTCGAAACGAAGTCATTTAGAATGTTTTTAGAGCATAAACAGTAGTGTATAGGATTTCCTGAAAGCGCGTTCACGAGTCTACGGAAACCGCGGCAGACCAAACCAGATGAAAGTGCGCATTCAGCGTCTGCTCTGCCAATAATGCAAGCGTAGAAGAAGAAATGTGCTGTTTACCTGTGCAAAGAAAGAAACAACGAAAGAAAAATGTCTGAGGACTTCAGTGTTGAGGAAGAGCATGAGTTCTTTGTCGAGCTGAATGCGCACTTTCATCTGGTTTGGTCTGCCGCGGTTTCCGTAGACTCGTGAACGCGCTTTCAGGAAATCCTATACACTACTGTTTATGCTCTAAAAACATTCTAAATGACTTCGTTTCGAGTAAACTCTGGATGCTACCCACTCAGGACACTTGGAATACATTGGACGAGCAGTATGGAGGAATATTGACACGTTTTTTGTGGACTTTTATGGACCTTTCTGCCTCGGGCGCCATAGACCTCCATTATTTGAATGTCAGCAGACAGCAAGAAGCCTCCCAGATCTCCAGATGCATTTGAGATATCAAAAAAGTACTCCAGAGTGTTGTTCAGCATGGGGGTGAGTAGAAAATGAAGGCTAATCATGTTTTGGGTGTACTATTCCTTTAACGTCAACCCCTGATTCTGGTGAAAATACCCAGCGCTAATAAAAAGTAAATTTATAAACATGTTTAAGCCAGAATGATTTGAAATTGAATGCATCCACTCTCAAAGCACCTGCAGGCCTCCTCTCTGAGCCTGCCACTTTATATGAGGCTCAGTAAATGACAAAGCGCCTGATCGATGTGCAAAACAAAACAAAACCGACAGAAACAGGACCGATCGGGGCTAAAAAGCTTTCTCTTCATCACTGGAAGTGAAAGGCTTATTCTGATCAGCAGTCTGAGAAATAATCCACCCCCACCCTCTGCCAACACACACAAAGGATGTGGTTCCAACAGAAAACCAAGGAGCTGGCAGGCAACAGCCTGCACTGATGGAGGATCACTCAGGGCCACCTAAATAGAAAATACAACTAGATTTACATTAGAAACTAAAACAGAAAATCAAGTAAAAGGGTTGAATTTCTGAGGCTGGATGATCTATGTGTACAAGTTCTAGAAAAAGGTGGTAAATCAGTCACTGCAGCTGCTTGAATGTTAAAGAACTGAATCAGTTTGGTGACTGAAAACGACCTGCTGCAACTTTTAAAGAGATTTCTAAACAAAAGAGAGAAAAAGAGTCAGAAAGTGTTCAGGGAAACAAAAGCGTAAATCTGGGCTCCTTTGGTTCCGACTCGGTGCTGGGAGTCAAAAAAGATTAAAAAACTAAAAATAAAAGGTTGTGATGGAGGCAGCGGGTCCGAACAGACACGTTGTTGTTGTTTTCATTGTTCAGGCTGAGCAGCGCCACTTACTTGGATGACCATCCCCTCCACTTCACCAGAAACTCCAACTTTCCCTGAAACAAGAGCCCAAAAAAATGGAGAAAGGTGAGCAAGGAGCGAAGGAGGAGGAGAGGAAGGAGAACCGCGGAATGAGGAGTAAAAAGATGCGTCACAAAGGCCCACCTTTCGGAGTCGTTTGTTCAAAATGCACTCGGCATCAAAAACCTGCTCTCCCACGGCGCTCAGCTCCTCCATGACTGCCTTCACCCCGAAAACGGAGGCTTGTTCAGCAGCCAATCAGAGGCACGGAGGGACAGCACCGGAAGCGCGGGCGGCGCCTTCAAAATAAAAGAACTCTGTAACAAGAGCCCCGTTCTTAAAGGAAAATTCCGGTTTTTAACACGTTTAGCCCATTTTCTGTAGTGTCCAGGATGAAATCGAATGATCGACACCAAAATTTTGACGATTGGTCCTGTCTCTGCTATTTGGCTCATGCAGAATCCCCCCCTGGCTGCTTCAGAATGGCTTCCATAGTGCATGTCCGATAATGTCCTTAAAACAACCTTAAACGTTCTTTTTTTAAAATATGCTACTCACCGGGTCGTCAGCGCTGTTCAATGACATTCCAAAAAAAGTTTCGTGAAGAAAAACCGTTCCTGTCTTGTTTTATTTAGCATTTTGTAAATCCCAGAACTATTTTTTCCGATACATCACAACCGCTTATAAACTTCCGCTTCCCGTTCGAATCTGAAGCGTTGCACACTCCAGACCACTAGTTGGCGACGGTATCCTCTACCGTCAAACTCAAAGTCCAATATGTCCTCCTCAAGAATCCACCTTTCGTATTCCATTTTCAGAGTTTTTTAAAGTGTTTAACAGAGACGTTAGCACCTCGACGTCGGAGTACACAGAGTGAAGCAGAAACACTTGGGCCTTGCGAAAAGACTACAACTAAGCGTAAACAGGCCCCATTTCCGTTTCCGGTGGCGGAGGGATATTGACTTTTCCAACAGAACTCAATGGGATTTACAAAATGCTAAATAAAACACTACAGGAACGTTTTTTCTTCACGAAACTTTTTTTGGAACGTCATTGAACAGCGCTGACGACCCGGTGAGTAGCATATTTTAAAAAAAGAACGTTTAAGGTTGTTTTAAGGACATTATCTGACATGCACTATGGAAGCCATTCTGAAGCAGCCAGGGGGGGATTCTGCATGAGCCAAATAGCAGAGACAGGACCAATTGTCAAAATTTTGGTGTCGATCATTTGATTTCATCCTGGACACTACAGAAAATGGGCTAAAAGTGTTAAAAACCGGAATTTTCCTTTAAATTCTTAGAATTTGCTCACAGACTTTGTAATTTACGGAGGACGAGTATGGAAGCAAATCGTTATCATATTTAAAATGAAAAAGCATTTCTGGAAATACTTTTTCATTTTCAAATTTTACATTTCAAATTGAATTTTGTAATGTATTTGCTGGGGAACATTTTGAAAAATAAATCTCAAGTGCCTTTTCTTTTTAATTTTAATTAAGTAAAAGGATTAGCAGTGTTAAAGAAGAAAATGAAAATGCAAACAGGATTATTGATTACTAATTTCATTTATGAGTCAAACAATGCAGCCACATTCTTAAAATGAAAAAGTATTTCTGGAAATGCTTTTTCATTTTAAATATGGTAATGATTTGCTTCCATATGTACGGAAGAGGATTAGGGCCACTGGAAAAAAAAACAAAGTTAACTGATTTTTAAATTTTATTTCAGTTTAACATGGGAAAAAAGTCAGAATTCTGACTTTTTTCTCAGAATTCTGACTTTAATCTCAGAATTCTGCCTTTTTTATTGTCAGAATTCAGTCAGAATTCTGAGAAAAAAGTCAGAATTCTGACTTTAATCTCAGAATTCTGAGAAAAAAAGTCAGAATTCTGACTTTTTTCCCATGTTAAACTGAAATAAAATTTAAAAATCAGTTAACTTTGTTTTTGTTTTTTTTAGTGGCCCTAATCCTCTTCCGTACATAGGACGAGAGCGGTCGCCCTCGACTTTTTTTTTTCTTTGCTTTCCCGAGATAATGACATAAGCTCAGGGGCGGAGCTAGTGGTGGCCATGGCCACCCTTAGCAAATCATTGTCCACCCCTTTTCTCTCTAATATAGACTGTGGCAGCAGTAATACTCTGAAGGGGAATGTTCAAACTTATTAAACATTAAATCTTTCATATATTAACAACTACTTGACAACAGAAACACTGTGGTTAATTATGCACATAAATATACAAACATTAAAGATGATAAATACAGAATTCATGCTCTTCTCAGAACTAAATTTTGAATGATTTGGGGTAAAGAGAAAATTATGTGTCTGCGTAAGTTCTCTAGGAGTCTTCAGTGAAATCATAGATAAATAACTACTTTAACAATAACTTAAAAATTCATTAAATGTGGATATTAATATATTTAAATATAATTTTTTTGCATAATGAGTATTGATAAAAGTCGGTAATGACCATGTATAATATGTCCGCCCAAGAACTCAAACTTGAAAGAATTTTGTCCACTATATATACCTTTTATTTACACAGCATAGATGTTTAAAAATATGCATCTATTTGTTAGCAAAGGCTGCAGGAAGTATAGTTTGTCTTTATTTAGAAAGTATGGATGTTGTGCTCGTTCCTGTTGGAACAGTGTAGATTGATCCTGAGGTTCTGGCGCCTTTCGGCCACCCCTCAATGTACATTTGTTATTGACTGATTTTTGGCTACGCCTCTGAAAATGTGTTGCACATTTTAATGGAAAGAATTTTTAGCCTTTTAATTATTGATTTTAGTCTTTTTGTGACGTTTTTTTTTTTACAAACATTCTTTTTCAAGGAGTTTGCCAGAATTGGAAAAAGAAGCCGAAGGCCCGACTTTTAAATTTTTTAATCAGTGAAGCAAAGTTGGTCATTTATTGTCCTGCAGAGACAGACAGCAGGAGGGAGCTCACCTTGATGCTGTGGCTCTGGAAGTGCAACGTTAAAGCCAGAATAAAGATGGAGTTTCACTTCCACAGAGCCACTCACAACATGGAGGATTTTATTCAGTTTTAGGGTTTTAACATTTTATGTTCTGTGTCAGATGAAGGAGATTTACAATTTAACGAGCTACTCATTTAATGATTTTAAAGATGACACTTGTTTTTACCTTAATAGTGATTTTTAACTGTCTTGTTTTACATCAATAATTGATTCTATTGTTTCAATTGTGTAAATAAAGCGGTTAAAAAGTCAAAAAGCCTCCTTCATTCATTCTTCCTCCCTCTCTCTTTCTCTCCTTTTCTTTCATCCTTTATTTTTTACCTTTCTTACCTCCTTTTTCTGCTCAATGTCCATTGAAAAGGTTTTCTTTATTCAAAGTCGCTTCAAAAAACGTTCATAAATAATAACCAAGTGTAATCTTGTGGCAAAGCCATGATGGTCCACTGGTGAAATCTAATGGGCTGCAAACAGGATTTGTTAAAAAAAAAAAACATAAATATTGATTCATTCTTACTTTTTATTTAAAAGCTAAAAAGTAAAATTAAACATTTCCATAGTAATAACAGCAAATATGTATAAAACATTATAAGCAGTAAAAGTTGACATTAAAAGATGTTTAACAACATTTTACAGGTTTATATCAGTTTGTTTTGCTGAAAGCGATCAGATATGATTAGAAACATTTATTATACAATTTCTTATACTGTTTGTCAATTAGAGCAACACAAGATACTTGTTATTAAGCTATGCAAAAGAAGTGTTATGTAGAAAGTGCTTTTGTTTTGAAAATCTGAACCGGAAGTGCTCTAGTTTCTTCTGCATCTTGACTGTTAACCAGAAACAGAGGCGGGTAAATCAGAAAGAGATTGTTGAAACATGAAACTCAGAAGCTACAGTGGCCTCATTGAAACCAACAAACATTTATAAACAAAATCACAAAACGCAGAATTTTATCTTTTCAAATAACCTTCAGTTATGCCATTGCACCGATAAGAGCTATAAATCAGCAGCATCTAATAGCCTACTAGGTTTATTTCAAAACTTAAAATTAAGAAGTAAAGTTGTGATTGTGTGTAATTATCCAAAATATACATCCATTCTTGGCTCACATCAGTTTAAACTAAACAGCTGCTTCTTATATTTATTTCTTAAATGGGGTCTTTTTAAGAACTCTCTAATTTCTTCTGGGCTCCACCTATCATTGATCTAGTGTGATTGAAAGCTGTCAACAAGCAGGCATTTCTCAGCACATGACTGAAGAAGAAGTTTCATTTATGTGATGATCAAAACGAAGATTGTTTGCTCTGCTTTTTCTCTGAAAAACTGTCCGATCTGAAAAAGAGATGTGAGGACAAAAACCTTATAAGCAGATAAAAAAAAAACAAATAAAAAGGCAACGAAAGGAACTGGAAACCTTTTTTTCTTTTACCATCAAATAGTCTAGTAGATTTGTTGTTGTTTTTTTTTATCCTTACCTCTTTCTTTTCCTCCTGATGACATTATACGATGTTGCTACTATGAAAACCAAGAGAAGAAATGCAGCTACTGCAGAAAGTCCAATAAAGCCGTTTTTCCACATGTTGACGTTTTCACCTGACAGGAGGAAACGAAAGAAAACATTTTTCTTTTATTATTATTTTCATTGAACTCTGGGCTTTTTAAAATATGTCTTCTCTTCCTGGATAGAAAGGCAGCTTGTGTTGCATTTATAAAATCATTGCTGATTTATTTCCACCCTGGCATTGCACTGATTCACACCTGTAGGCTAACCTTTATGGCCCACCTCTGCTAAAAGGCATTTTTGTTCATGAGGACATGAGGGACAGTTTCATCCTAATTCCTATGGAACCAACAAGAATTTTCTTCACAACAAACTGTTTCACTTTTTTTTGTTTTTATTAGTTCTGGAAACTTTATTAAGAGTCATGTGCTTAGAGTTTTTTAATCTTTAAATTTATTTAAGAGGATTTTAGAACCTAAATATGAAGAGCAGAAGACTTGACATTGATCCCTGAGGAACCTCACAATTTGTTGTTTTGTCTGTATTCAGGGATAGAGCTAGAAAGGGGGGCCAAGGGTGGCCATGGCCCCCTGCAGCCAATCATTGTTGGCCATCCCCCCAAACCACCCACCAGGTAGTTTGTTGTTTTCAGGTGGACATGATTCACCACCTCTCTTTTTTAATTTTGCTATTCTATCCTTAATTTAATATAAGCCATGTATTATAATTCATTATATTGGTATCTCATCTGTATTAATATGCTTTTTGAATGCTCATAACAATTGCATGTTTATTCTAATTTGACTGTAATTAAAGTTGCTGATAACTTAAATATATATAAAGAAAAAACATAATTCATAGCCTCCTGAACAAGCAGTTCCCCTCTAAACCAGAAGGTGGCAGCAGTGATACCTACAAGTGGATTATCCTGACTATTTTACATTTTAGATGTTAGTATAATAAACATAAACTCAAAACAAAAATACAGTAGTTAATTATTCACATCAACATACTAAAATTAAAGATTAAAAACACACTTATAGAAACATTTAACACAAAAGTTATACATATTTTTATATATCTGTAAAAATTCTATCATTCCACACTATAATGTAGGTGTTACAAGTTTGTTTGGTTAATACTGATATCATATTGGGTCAATATTGATACACAAACCTGCTTTACTGTATTTTATTATAAATTAATAATGGTGTTGTTTATGTATCCATCAAACATTACAAATCTACATAGAGAGTTTACCTGCATGTGTTTCATATTAAACTGCTCATATGAGTATTTGCTCACTTCAGGTAGAAATCAGACTCCATGTAATCCCATAGTTTTAAAATAAAACACAAACAATGAGGAAAAAACAAGACTTTTATCAACTTAAGTTTGGCAAAATGTGTAATAACTTTTGAATTTTAGCAAAAATCCAACAACATATTTATTTAATATCTGAAAATAAAGCTTTTAATAAAAGTGGTGTTTTGTAAAGGGCTCTGGTTTATAAAGGGCTTTGGTTTATATCTGGCTCTGGTTTATAAAGAGGTCTGGTTTATAAAGGGCTCTGGTTTATAAAGGGCTCTGGTTGATAACGAGCTCTGGTTGATAACGAGCTCTGGTTTATAAAGGGCTTTGGTGTATAAAGAGCTCTGGTTTATAAAGGAATCTGGTTTATAAAGGGCTTTGGTTTATAAAGGGCTCTGTTTTATAAGGGGCTCTGGTTTATAAAGGGCTCTGGTTTATAAATGGCTCTGTTTTATAACGGGCTCTCGTTTATAAAGGGCTCTGGTTTATAAAGGGCTTTGGTGTATAAAGAGCTCTGGTTTATAAAGGAATCTGGTTTATAAAGGGCTTTGGTTTATAAAGGGCTCTGTCTTATAACGGGCTCTGGTTTATAAAGGGCTCTGGTTTATAAATGGCTCTGTTTTATAACTCAAACCAACCACAGGGCCCCTGGTTGCCTCTGAGGAGATTAAGAAGGTAATCTATCAGATTTGACTTTTTTTTTCTTCTTTTTTTTTTTTTAGATTTTTTTATATCTCCAAACAGCATCTTTTTAAAATATCAGTTTGAGTCTCATTTCTAAAAGTATGCAGAACCTTCTAGTTTCACTGTAAACCCTCCAGCTCTGAGCAGGTGTCTGAAATGCTTCAGCTGTAAAACTCACCGGCGGGTTCAACGGCTTCCACCAGCATGTGCTGCGTGGCGTTCAGGTGGCCGTCGTTGACATCAGGCTGAATGCCCAGAATGTGACACATCAGTGGGTAGATGTTGACCGTCTCAAAGGGCCCCACCAACAGGTTCCTGCGGAAAGCCGGACCCACGGCTCTGAAAAAGGGCTTCATGTCCATCACCTGGTTGTCGAAGCCGTGCTCTCCTTTGTTGAACTGAACCGGGAAATACTGCAAAGACAGGATGGGGAATGATGTCAATGCAATTTATTTCAGTTTATATATATACAGGTGCTGGTCATAAAATTAGAATATCATGAAAAAGTAGATTGATTTCAGTAATTTCATTTAAAAAGTGAAACTTGTATATTATATTCATACATTACATAAAAACTCATATATTTCAGATGTTTATTTTGTTTAATTTTGATGATTACAAATGACAACAAATGAAAATCTCAAATTCATCATATCAGAAAATTAGAATATTACTGAAGACCAATAAAAACAAAGGATTTATAGAAATGTTGGCCAACTGAAAAGTATGAACATGAAAAGTATGAGCATGTACAGCACTCAGTATTTAGTTGGGCCTCCTTTGGCCTGTATTACTGCAGCAATGCGGCGTGGCATGGAGTCGATCAGTCTGTGGCACTGCTCAGGTGTTATGATAGCCCAGGTTGCTCTAATAGTGGCTTTTAGCTCTTCTGAATTGTTGGGTCTGGTGTATTGCATCTTCTTCTTCACAATACCCCATAGATTTTCTATGGGGTTAAGGTCAGGAGAGTTTGCTGGCCAGTTAAGAACAGGGATACCATGGTCCTTCAACCAGGTACTGGTAGCTTTGGCACTGTGTGCAGGTGCCAAGTCCTGTTGGAAAATGAAATCTGCATCTCCAAAAAGTTGGTCAGCTGCAGGAAGCATGAAGTGCTCTAAAACTTCCTGGTATGTGGCTGCGTTGACCCTGGACCTCAGAAAACACAATGGACCAACACCAGCAGATGACATGGCACCCCAAACCATCACTGACTGTGGAAACTTTACACTGGACTTCAAGCAATGTGGATGAAGTGCCTCTCTTCTTTTCCTCCAGACTCTGGGACCTTGATTTCCAAAGGAAATGCAAAATTTACTTTCATCAGAGAACATGACTTTGGACCACTCACCAGCAGTCCAGTCCTGTTTCTCTTTAGCCCAGGCAAGACGCTTCTGACGCTGTCTGTGGTTCAAGAGTGGCTTGACACAAGGAATGCGACAGCAGAAACCCATGTCTTTCATACGTCTGTGTGTGGTGGTTCTTGAAGCACTCACTCCAGCTGCAGTCCACTCTTTGTGAATCTCCCCCACATTTTTGAATGGGTTTTGTTTCACAATCCTCTCCAGGGTGCGGTTATCTCTCTTGCTTGTACACTTTTTTCGACCACATCTTTTCCTTCCCTTCGCCTCTCTATTAATGTGCTTGGACACTGAGCTCTGTGAACAGCCAGCCTCTTTAGCGATGACCTTTTGTGTCTTGCCCTCCTTGTGCAAGGTGTCGATGGTCGTCTTTTGGACAACTGTCAAGTCAGCAGTCTTCCCCATGATTGTGTAGCCTATAGAACTAGACTGAAAGACCATTTAAAGGCTTTTGCAGGTGGTTTGAGTTAATTAGCTGATTAGAGTGTGGCACCAGGGGCCATCAATTTTGAACCTTTTCACAATATTCTAATTTTCTGATATGATGAATTTGAGATTTTCATTTGTTGTCATTTGTAATCATCAAAATTAAACAAAATAAACATCTGAAATATATGAGTTTGTATGTAATGTATGAATATAATATACAAGTTTCACTTTTTAAATGGAATTACTGAAATCAATCTACTTTTTCATGATATTCTAATTTTATGACCAGCACCTGTATATATATACACTATATTGCCAAAAGTATTTGCTCACCCATCCAAATTATTGGAATCAGGTGTTCCAATCACTTCCATGGCCACAGGTGTATAAATTCAAGCACCTAGGCATGCAGACTGTTTTTACAAACATTTGTGAAAGAATGGGTCGCTCTCAGGAGCTCAGTGAATTCCAGCGTGGAACTGTGATAGGATGCCACCTGTGCAACAAATCCAGTCGTGAAATTTCCTCGCTCCTAAATATTCCACAGTCAACTGTCAGCTGTATTATAAGAAAATGGAAGTGTTTGGGAACGACAGCAACTCAGCCACGAAGAGGTAGGCCACGTAAACTGACGGAGCGGGGTCAGCGGATGCTGACGCGCATAGTGCGAAGAGGTCGCCAACTTTCTGCAGAGTCAATCACTACAGACCTCCAAACTTCATGTGGCCTTCAGATTAGCTCAAGAACAGTGCGCAGAGAGCTTCATGGAATGGGTTTCCATGGTCGAGCAGCTGCATCCAAGCCATACATCACCAAGTGCAATGCAAAGCGTCGGATGCGGTGGTGTAAAGCACGCCGCCACTGGACTCTAGAGCAGTGGAGACGCGTTCTCTGGAGTGACGAATCGCGCTTCTCCATCTGGCAATCTGATGGACGGGTCTGGGTTTGGCGGTTGCCAGGAGAACGGTACTTGTCTGACTGCATTGTGCCAAGTGTAAAGTTTGGTGGAGGGGGGATTATGGTGTGGGGTTGTTTTTCAGGAGCTGGGCTTGGCCCCTTAGTTCCAGTGAAAGGAACTCTGAATGCTTCAGCATACCAAGACATTTTGGACAATTCCATGCTCCCAACTTTGTGGGAACAGTTTGGAGCTGGCCCCTTCCTCTTCCAACATGACTGTGCACCAGTGCACAAAGCAAGGTCCATAAAGACATGGATGACAGAGTCTGGTGTGGATGAACTTGACTGGCCTGCACAGAGTCCTGACCTCAACCCGATAGAACACCTTTGGGATGAATTAGAGCGGAGACTGAGAGCCAGGCCTTCTCGTCCAACATCAGTGTGCGACCTCACAAATGCGCTTCTGGAAGAATGGTCAAAAATTCCCATAAACACACTCCTAAACCTTGTGGACAGCCTTCCCAGAAGAGTTGAAGCTGTTCTAGCTGCAAAGGGTGGACCGACGTCATATTGAACCCTATGGATTAGGAACGGGATGTCACTTAAGCTCATATGTGAGTCAAGGCAGGTGAGCAAATACTTTTGGCAATATAGTGTATATATATATATATATATATATATATATATATATATATATATATATATATATATATATATATATATATATATATATATATAGCACCAATTCATAACACATTGAAAGGAACTTTCCAGTTCACCAGATCATACAGTCAAGTTGATTCAAAAATTCTATCTAAGGAAAACCATTGCATCGACTCATTGACTCTTCAGCAATCCCTCACACTAAGCATGCTTGTAGCGACAGTGGAGAGGAAAAACTCCCTTTTAAGAGGAAAAAACCTCCAGCAGAACCAGGCTCAGTGTGAGCAGCCATCTGCTGAGGCCAAATGGGGTTCAAGGAGACAGAAGCAGACATAGAAAAAGAAGCATAGATACAAAAGGCAACTGTAAAAGGTGGACCAGTCCAGGAAACAGACAGAAGAGGAGCTCCAAGCCAGCTCCCATGTCAGAAGATGAAGAGAGCACATCCAGTTAGTCACCGTCAGAGAAACAGGACTACACTGAAAAACAGGCCGATCTCCAACATCTATAAAAGAAGGTGTTGATGGCAGCAGCACAGCGGATATTTCTCTCAAGGATGGAGTCACAGCCAAACAGGAACAGACGATGCAAAGCTAATATGAGAAAAAGCAGAGAGAGCATAATAGATTTTACTAACAGATTCTGCAGAGTGGGAGAATAGAGATAGAATGAAGCAGAATGATGAAAAAGGGGTCCCTATGTCCTCCAGCAGTCTAAGCCTATAGCAGCAGAACTATAGAGATAGATCAGGATAACCTGAGCCACTCTAACTAGAAGCTTTATCAAAAAGGAAAGTTTTAAGCCTAGCCTTAAAAGTAGACAGGGTGTCTGCCTCACGGACTAAAACTGGTAGTTGGTTCCACAGGAGAGGAGCCTGAGAACTAAAAGATCTGCCTCCCATTCTACTTTTAGAAATTCTAGGAACCACTAGTAAACCTGCAGATTGAGAGCGAAGTGCTCTGTTAGGAACATAAGGAACAATCAGATCTCTGATATCAGATGGAGCTTGGCCATTTAAGGCTTTATATGTGAGAAGGAGGATTTAAATTCTATTTTTAATTTTTACCCTCATGGCCCTTTTTGGATGGTTCAATCAGTGCTCCATTTTAATAAGGGCTTCACAGCTCGGCCTACTTCCAGCAGAGGGAGGTATTGGCCAACAAATGGAGACAGTTTCTTACCGTTTCATTGCTCTCAACCCATGACCCTGTTTAAATGACAGATTATTTTAATCTACCTTTTTATTTCTTTGCAAAAAATACTACTAAGAAGCAAACTTATAATGATTCATTGCTGATTTTGTGAGATAAAAGGGAAGAAAATGGGTAGAACACCCAGTTATCTGAGTAATTGCATAACAGTCTTGATGTGCTTATCTTTCTCTGGGATCGACCCAAATCGGCTATAAGCCACAAAGGGAGAGAACAAAGAGTCAGCTAATGTCCCGATCACTGCCGGTCACATCCCCGAGACGTGACTTACCCCACTTTTACAGAGTGTACCGATTCTTCAAACATTTTCCCTTTTTTTTTTAGCCTTTTTGCTCTTTAAGCCCCTCGCAGGGAGCTTCCCAGTTTCTGCTGCAGAGCCAAACGGGGGGAAAAAAAAGAAGCTAATTTTGAATTTCGAGGCATGAAAAGCTTTGCGGAGCATTCGAGAGCCCTGCGTGTCATCAGCCAGGCCTGGATTATCCGTGCAAATGCACTTGATTAAAATTGTAATGTGCCAAGATTAAAATTTCACTCCTGTTTCTGATTGAAAAGAGCTCAGTTTCACAACTTCCAGAGAGCAAATTGTGGGGCTAATTTAATTACGTCGGAAGGTCAAGACGTGAGGATCTCTGTGGAGTTGAAAACCTGATGGCACTGGCATCAGTTATCAGCCTTATCATCTCTGTCTGGCCATAAGTGCTCATCATTTTCCTTCAATCAAACTGATCATAATCGCAGCTTTACTGGGAGCTGTTAATGTTTTACCGAAGGCGTTATTGAGATGCTCGCGGTTTAAAAAAGGGGGCATCCTGGATGTGGCACAAATGGCAATTTATTTTACCCTTTAAAGGGTAAATCAATAAGACTTGCTGTGGGCAGAGAACTGTCACGGTACCTGTCACCTGGGCTTTAAACTGTCCTTCGTGTTGCACGTCAAGCCGTATATCAGCAAGAACATGAGATCTGGGTTTTTACTGCTGCGGGTTAAGGTCAGCTTTCATAAATTTCTCTCTCTATAGTTGAAACCCTTAATTTAATTTCATCAAATCAAATAACCCCATAATTCATAGATTCATCTTACACAGAGTGACACTTTGCAAGGATTTCATTTTCTCATTGGGTCTTAGAAACATAGAAAATCACATCAGATCCTTAAGATATTTACATAAAGAACAGAGCGGAACAGAGTGTGGATGTACGTAAAGAATCTGCACTCAGAATCTGCTCTGGGCTCCTTTTGCTGAAACGGGGCATTCAGGAAGCCCAGCTCGCTTTGATTCTGATGCCTCCTCTTCCTCTAGACAATGGTCCATTTGGGTCAGCCCAGCTTCCTGGTGATACCATGGTGTGTAAAGCAGGTACTGGTACAGTACTAGCCTTTCAAAATGTCCCCACTTTTCTTCATGGGCCCTTGATCTCGCGAGCTTTCAAGGTTTCACTCGCAAATCAGTCTGGAGACTCTCTGTTAAAGAAAATTTGGAGCCGTTCACCAAACGAACGTCCAATCAGCGTTGGCTTTGAGGCGGGTTGAGGTGTGACGCAACGAGAAGCGCGACAGTTCAGTCTAAAGAACATGGCGGCTTCAGCCGATGAAACTAGCGTTAGCGTGGCTATCGAGCAAGTTTTATCGGAATTACAGAGTATTTCTTCACTGAAAGAAGAGCAAAACACTGCTCTGGAGGCTTTTCTCAGAGGAAAAGATGTTTTTGCTCTCCTCCCGACTGGTTTCAGCAAGAGTTTGATCTATCAATCGGCTCCTCTTCGTCGTCGCTCTGTTAGTACGTCATATGCTTCGTTGATCTGATTGGTTTATTTGGCCCGTCTATCACCAACATAGGCCAATCAGCTAACCAGTATTTTTGTCCCTTCCCAAAATTACTTCAACGGAAGGTTTCCAGATGGATATGCGGAGCAAATCCATCTGGTGGAGTCAGGTTAACAATCTGTACCATCAGCTCATTTGCACATGAGTAACCAGATATATCTGGCTGCACTTCACGGAACAGAAACGTTCATTTCCTGTCTGGAAAGATGCACTAAACGAAATTCTTGTATACACTTTGGGCCGGATTTATCAAGATCCAATTTTGCGTGCAGTAATTTGCGCTCGCAAACTGGAATTTTGCGCGAGGGGCTGAACCATGGTTTGCGGGTGATTTAACAAGAGTGATTGCGTAACTGGTGGCAGGTGCAAAACTGTTGGAGACGCCCTATTTAAATGATGGTTTTGCGCGTTTTGTGGTTTGCGGCAAAGTAGTTTGTAGTTTGTGCAAACTAGTGCATTAAGAAATTTTAATCTTACAGTGACACCCCCACCCCCTCCAAAAAAAAAAAAATATATATATATAAACTTTGGCAACCTTTATTCCCTAAGGTGGTATGTGGCTGAATTTCTACTTCACTGCAGTAAAAAAAAAAAAAAACAGGTGTTTTGTATTGGCCTGTAGAAAAATGCACATACCAAATGGCTCATACCCGCAGCATTTGGCAGGTTGCTCCACAGGCGCAGGGGGAGAACCCCGACCCCGTCGGACAGCACTTCGGACAGCACTTCTGAAAAAACTAGATTGGGAGATCCCAGCTCTCGCTGCAACCGTACGCTGGAATGACCCAGATGCAAAAAAGTGCAATGTTGCAAGGAGTTTTGTGATATCTGGTATTGCGTGGGTCCTCCTTGTGGCTGGCTCCAAATCCATTGGGAGTTCCCCCAACAGCTCCAAAATGGCAATGCTGGATAAACGATATGTTTTGATGATTTTGTTTTCCTCCTTCATTGCAAAAATATTCACACGGAGTGAAAAAATGCGTTCTCTGCGTCTCCTTGCTTCATTTCCATGTCTCCTTCTTGCGACAATAACCGCTGCCATGTGTGCGCAATTACGCATACAGACCATTTGCACCTTCTTTTGAAACGTGTTAAATATAGAGTCAGATACTGTTAGCAAAATTGCTTTCAGGTTTAATAAATCACTTTGTGAGTGCTAAATTAATATATTTACATGTTCTCCTCCCACAAGATGCACTTTTGCGTGTAAACGCCCCATATTGCATATTCATTGCAGAAAAAGTACTAAATGGATAAGAGGCGCTATTTAGCACGTTTTAAAGACCAAATCCTTTTAGCACGCTGTTGATAGATCAGTTTGTACATTTTTTAGCGTGCGCAGTGAAATAGCTCACGTTTTTATACACGCAAACCTTTGATAGATCCGGCCCTTTGTGTGTAGAAAATGACAATAAAAGTTGTTTAAGGCGCTCTTGATTTTACTTTGTAAAAATTACATAAATTACTTAATAAGCGCACTAAACTATAATGTCTAAAAGGTTACTATTGCATTTCCTGAGAAGATAAATGCATTTAAATTCTTTCCGTTTTATAACTCGTCTGTGCCGGAAGTGAGCTCCTACGCTACTTCCAGGAGCTAACTTTTCTGGCTTTGGATTTAGACATAAATCTAGTCTTTGTCAGTTTTATTTTATCCTTTTGTTTTAAAATTATGGCACATAGTGCGTAATCTAAACAAAGAAACAATTTAAATACTGATAAACATGGTTTATCTGCATTTTAAATAATTTTTTGCCAGACTACTCTCAACATGTCTGATGAGGACATCAGACAAGCAGTTTATTGAAGAAAATTTAAAAAGCATCAAATTAACTCGGAAAAGTCTTGTTTAAATATGTAGTTTAGCATTTTTTTGGGATTTAAGGATAAATATAAGTAATTTTAGAACAATAATTACATTATTTATGACGATTTTGATGAATATTTGCTTGCTCATGTGCAAATGAGCTGATGGTACGGATGGGGTAGTGACATCACACTATAACCAGAAGTTAAAATCGGATAAAGATTAATCGTTATGATGAAAAAGTTGTAGCCAGTGTTGTGCCTGAACGCGTTCATTGAACGAAAGTTCATGAACTCGTTCATATTTTGGGCGAACGTGAACTGAACGTACTGCATTATTGCCTAATGAACGACATTGTGAACTCGTTCATTCTGGCGTCTGTGAACGGCACGCTCTCTCAGTTCAACTCCGTTCAATAGGTTGCCAGATTTCTATAGAGCCCTCCAGGCGAAACCCCGGCTAAATCACACCGTAAACAGGCCTTAATATGTATCGGGAAAAACACCCAATCTGGCAACACCAGCTACCAGCGTCGTAGCCTACAGCCGCGTGCGTCATCAAAACAAAATGCAGCGTGGAAGCCACAGCAGCATGGAGGCGACTTAAAACAGGTCTATGACCAGGTGGTCGGTGAGGATGATGGCAACAAGTTTGCCCGCCGGCTTTCAGTAAAAAAAATCCTCACTTCAGTAACCTTAAATTCCTACCTCAGCCTGGTCCCTCAGTTTGTGTTAGTAAAATCTTCTTGAGCGGAGGTCTTCAACATGGGATCCGCGACCCCTAGGGGGTCTACGGAGGTACTGCATGAGGGTCTGCATGGTTAGTTGATATTTTTATATTCCCCCTGCATTTTTTCCCCCCACTAATTGAAATGTCTTTAAATACTCATTAACATGAAACCAACACACTGTAGTAAACAGATAAATGGAGACAAAAGATGTCTTTCAGTCATCAATGCTCACATTCAGCGACACACAGGAGCTCTTTCAAGCTGGGCGCCGTTTCCTTCACAACAACCAGGAATCAGAATCAGAAAAACTTTAATAATCCCAGGGAGAAATTTATTTCTTTACATTACCCCATCTGTAATAGAGTGACTATAGGACACAATTTCATACAATATATATAGTTAGGGGGTCCCCGCTCCATCTCTCCATCAGTTTGGGGGTCCTTGGTCTGGAAAACATAGAAGACCCCTGTTCTTGAGGGTTTTACTATCCATGTAACTTGTTTGTTAAACCTGCCTGGTATAATTTTCCAGGATTCCAGTATTCCTTTTTAGTATGTATTGAAATGGAATTTCAAATGGAAAAAAATTATTAAAATAAAAAAAAAACATTTGCACCTTAAAGACTACTTTCCTATTTTTCTTTTAATAATTACTCATAAAAAAGACCATTCAAGCAGCACATTTTTCCTGATGTTTTTGAGAATATACTGTAGGGGTGAAAGCTGCAGCTGCTACTAGTGTGAAGTGAATGGACAGCAACAAAGCGTTAAAGCAACAATGGGGAAATGCTGTCCCCTCAATGCTAATGTAAACCCTGGTTGGATAAGGATTCAAAACTGGATATGAAGATGAAATCTGACGCACAGTTTCAGAGTTACAACTGATAAAATAATTGCTGTCTGTGGTTCTACAGTAGGCTATGGTGTAATTGAGCAATATATGAAAAAAAAAAAAGAACTATGAACTAGTTCATTTTTTGGAATTGTGAACTATGAACTGAACTAGTTCATTTTAAAATGTGTGAACTGAACTTTGAACTAGTTCACGTAGAAAGAGAACTTTCCCAACACTGGTTGTAGCTATGACCTTAAAGTTTTTGATTATAATGTAATTAATTTGATGCACCCACAGTGTTTAGAGGTAAAGAAACAAGGAGAAAGGAGGAGAAGCAATATACGCACCCCATTGAGGACGTATCCAGGGTCCGTCCATAAAATGATAGGCAGGATGCGGTCATTTTTGGTGAAGTAAAGGTGCTCTGGCATCTCCTCCTTCTTATACACGTGCAGGTGTGGATGAGCCCCCTTCAGGGCTTTGTAAACCGCCTCCAGCTTTCCAGGATTAGGAAGCATCATCCCTGTAGGTCCATAGTCCAACAGGTGGAAGGACACATCGCTGAAGTTAAAGCCTGGGATCTTGGAGAGGGTGATTTCTTCCAACTGGGCACTACGATAGATGGTGGTCATGCCATGGTCTGCTGTGATGATGATGTTCAGTCGCTCGGTCAGCCCGTGCTTTTCAGCTGAGTCTCGGATGTAGCCTACGGTCCGGTCCACTTGCTTCACCATGTCTTTGCGTTCTTGTGAGTCGGGCCCGTATCTGTGGCCCGTGCCGTCTGGTTCGCCAAAGTACAAAGACACAAAGTCCAGATTCTGATCTCTGAACCAGCCCATCACCTTGTCTGTGTTCTCGTGCCAGAGGGTCTCGTTCTTGTAGTCGTAATAATTGGGCTCCACTTCTCGCACCGTGGGGACCTGTCCCTGGTAACTGGAAGCTGTGCCCGGGAAGTGGAGAGAGCCAGCTCTCAGACCCTGGAAAGGTGAAAAGGAGAGCACGCTTATAACATCTCTGCTGGAGATGTCGACTCATGGGTGTAGACCTTATCAGCTATAAATATATGGTTATAGAAGTGCTTCTGACACAAGCTGCAAACTAGGCAGTCCCCCTCCTCTCAGTGATAGAAGAAACTACAGAAAATAATAAAGTTTCCATCATTTTGTATTCCAGGGAGTTTCTGTTTAGAGTAGAACAGGATATTTTGCTTGATCTATAAAATCCTGGGTCTAGTTCTATAAAACAACAAATCTGCCCTTTAACAGAATCAGAATGAGACACTAACTCTTTCAGTCGTTACAGAGCTCTCACTGCAGCCTCAGCTAATCAGTAATTGGACGTGCAAACAAATGACTTGTTCTGGGTGAAAGTTACAGATAAAGTTACTTTCCTTCTCTTTTTCTCTGTGGTGCAAAAGTTATTCCATTATTTTTGCAAGCCAAGAACAAGTTCTGTTATTAGAAATTTGAGGAAAAGAAACCCAGAAAATAAAATGTGAAAACCTATTTTTTTATATATTTATTTATCTATTTTTTTTAGTTCCCTTAAAGTTTCTATTATTTTAAAATTGCGTTTCACATATATTTTTTCAAATCTTCAGTTCTGGGGGTGGGCTTTCTACGGAAGAGGATTAGGGCCAGAGGAAAAAAAAAAAAAAGTTAACTGATTTTTTTTCTTAGAATTCTGACTTTAATCTCAGAATTCTGACTTTTTTATTGTCAGAATTCTGACAATAAAAAAGTCAGAATTCTGAGATTAAAGTCAGAATTTTGACTTTTTTCCCATCTTAAACTGAAGTAAAATGTAAAAATCAGTTAACTTTTTTTTTTTCAGTGGCCCTAATCCTCTTCCGTAGCTTTCCTCTGGAGAGAGGACACATTTATTTTGGTCTGTGCGTAAACAATGACTGGACTTAAAAACTAGGAAAATGCAATCTGAAAAATGTTTTAAAAATGCGCTTTTTAAAAGTCAAGGTAAAAAAAAATGTTAACTGATTTTTTTTCCTCAGAATTCTGTCTTTAATCTCAGAATTCTGACCGAATTCTGACAATAAAAAAGTCAGAATTCTGAGATTAAAGACAGAATTCTGAGAAAAAAGTCAGAATTCTGACTTTTTTCCCATCTTAAACTGAAGTAAAATGTAAAAATCAGTTAACTTTTTTTTTTTTTTTTTTTTTCAGTGGCCCTAACCCTCTTCCATAGCTTTCCTCTCTCCAGAGGAAAGCTACGGAAGAGGATTAGGATTTGTTCTGTGCGTAAACAGTGACTAGACTTAAAAACTAGGAAAAATGCAATCTGAAAAAAATTTTAAAAATGCACTTTTTAAAAGTTAAGGTAAAAAAAAAAGTTAAATCTGTAAAAAAAAAATATACAATAAGTAATATTATATTAGTGATATTAAAAATGATTATTGAAGAAAAAAAAGCATATTTTGAAAAAACATAACCTAAGAAAACAATCTTTTTTGATCAGTATGTTTTCCAAATATAATCTTTGGATTTCCTTATTTTTCCATATTTTTATTCAAATATTTATTTACAAAACATGTTTTTTTTTTGCTCGCAAAAATAATGGAGCAAATTGAATTCCTTATTTCTGTCACCCCCTTTGGCATGCCACCCTGGGCAGTGAGCCATACGGCACAATTGACAGGGTTTGAATCTTTCTCAGAATAATTATGTGCCGACGTCACGGGCGGCAGAATTTATGGCTGAAACTGGGCAGAACTTCTGAGCTGTTTTTTAGCAATAGAAATGGGTTCTGTTGCTGTGAGTGGACCGGTTCTGCTCAGACCTGTCGCTCTGCTGTGATCCAGATCGGAAGCGTGCCGTTGTCCCACCATTCGTTCACAAACTGAGTCTGATAGTAGCCCTTCTTCTCCTTTGTGGTGGTGTTGAACCACATGTTGTGGATCACTCCATGATTCTCAACGTAGCGGCCTGCAGAAGGAAGAACATTTCTTCCCTCACTCCAAATCTAATTATCTAGCTTATCATTATAGCTGTATTCCTGTGCAGAAAACAAAGCGTTTTACCTGTAAGGAGGGTGAAATGTGTAGGACTGGTGACGGTGATGTATGGAGGGGTGACATATTGGGCCTTTACACCTTCCTTGGCCATATGGTCAAGGTTTGGCGTGTCCACGTCCAGGTCGTAGTCCCATCGGAAACCATCGAAGGATATGAGCAGCAGCTTCTGCCTCTCTTTGGTCACCGGGAATCCATGGATGAAGGAGGCCCAGAGGACGCAGAGACACGCAGCCCGCAGCATGATGGACGCCTGGCAGATCTGACCTGACCCTGTCCTTCGCCCGAGACTTTAACTCCCCAGCAGGTCCCACCTCTTTCCAGTTCTCTGAAAGCACCAAGTTCTGAACAAAGTTTCCCCATCTTATCTTATCGTATTGATTAGATGGACTTTATCTCGGCTCTTTCAGCGTTCGGCCTGATGAGGTTTATGAGCCGGTTTTATGGCTGGGACTTGTTTTCACTGTGACACCACCCCACCGCCCCCTCCTCCCTCCTCCATTCCCAGTCGTTTGAGTCTTTGAGCACTAGCAGTAAAGCAGATTAATCTCTCCGGGCATGTTGCCTGTTTCTCCTCTAACTCGGTTGTTGATGCTGCCTTTCTGCACGTCTCTGCATCTCAGAGTTTCCGGTGAATCTCCGGTGATGGGAGAATGACACTTTGATGGCTTTCACCTTGAGTTGGGATGTCGCATGATTGATCTGACATCAGGAAAATGAATAGAACGAGAGCATATATCTCGTCATGGGGTCCCTGCGGAAGCAAAGGCCCTAATAGACTAGAAGACCTATTTGTTTTAATACCTCAATAGATTTGCCTCTGGATGTTGTTCAATACTTATAACAGAGACTTTATTTTGAAAAGCGTTTCAAATCAGATCAGTAATCTCAATTTCTCTGCATTCTCAGGTAACCTTAACAATGTCCATCAAGTTGCCGGACAAGCTAACTCTTCAAATTTGTTCTTTATTGTTCGTGTCCTTGGTAGAAGTTCAAGGGAATAGTCTAATCTTTATGGAGATAAGGGATAACATTCATCAGCTTTCATTTACCTCATTCATATTCATCAGCTTTCTCATATTAACTCTATCCGCCCGTCGTCCACTGTCAGCAGGATTTGGTGAAGTGTTTTGGACTGCTGAGACCCGTGGAAGGCTCAGATCTCTGCTATGAGAACTTTATCAAACATACACGCTCAGAACTTGTGGGGAAAGCAAACTCCATCTGACCCTCTCAGTCCTGCGCAGGATTTCCTGCGGGATTCTCATATATTCTTCCAAGATGAAATGTGAGGTTTTTGCCTTCAGCTCTGCCTGCTGCAGAGCACCTTTCCCACACAAACAGCCGACAAAACAGCCGGTGAAAGTAGAGTGTAGGAGCACTACATAAATTAGGACTCTGTGTTGCTCATACTGTGGTATATTTTAGAAAGGTGTCTAACTCTTCTCTGACATGGGGGACCTCTTCTTGGGAAATCTCAGTCAACTATTGCTGCCTCTGATTTATGTAGCTGCGATGTGCAGCGGATCAAATGCACCTAGTTAAACGTGATAATTCCTCCAGGCTATTAGGTGTCACACACTCACTTGTCTGCTGTTGTTTTGTACTGTTTGCCAGACAGTAACCAGATCGTGTATTTCAGCATAGTGGGCTGTTAAGCTCAAATGTGTTCCTTTGTGGGTACCAGATCTGCTCCGGTGGTCAGGTCTGCTCAGGGCCCTGCCCCTTCTTATGACATCAATATATGGCAACACCATTCGGACAAACTCTATTCCACCAGTTTCTTAAAGGAATAGTACACCCAAAACATGATTAGCCTTCATTTTCTACTCACCCCCATGCTGAACAACACTCTGGAGTACTTTTTTGATATCTCAAATGCATCTGGAGATCTGGGAGGCTTCTTGCTGCCTGCTGACATTCAAATAATGGAGGTCTATGGCGCCCGAGGCAGAAAGGTCCATAAAAGTCCACAAAAAATGTGTCAATATTCCTCCATACTGGTCGTCCAATGTATTCCAAGTGTCCTGAGTGGGTAGCGTCCAGAATTTACTTGAAACAAAGTCATTTAGAATGTTTTTAGAGCATAAACAGTAGTGTATAGGATTTCCTGAAAGCGCGCACCTGCGCGTTCATGACGCTACGGAAGCCGGCAGATCAACCAGATGAAAGTGCGCATTCAGCATCTGCTCTGCCGATAATGCAAGCGTAGAAGAAGAAATGTGCTGTTTACCTGTGCAAAGAAAGAAACAACGAAAGAAAAATGTCTGAGGACTTCAGTGTTGAGGAAGAGCATGAGTTCTTTGCCGAGCTGAATGCGCTGGTTTGGTCTGCCGGCTTCCGTAGCGTCGTGAACGCGCATGTGCGCGCTTTCAGGAAATCCTATACACTACTGTTTATGCTCTAAAAACATTCTAAATGACTTCGTTTCGAGTAAATTCTGGACGCTACCCACTCAGGACACTTGGAATACATTGGACGAGCAGTATGGAGGAATATTGACACGTTTTTTTGTGGACTTTTATGGACCTTTCTGCCTCGGGCGCCATAGACCTCCATTATTTGAATGTCAGCAGACAGCAAGAAGCCTCCCAGATCTCCAGATGCATTTGAGATATCAAAAAAGTACTCCAGAGTGTTGTTCAGCATGGGGGTGAGTAGAAAATGAAGGCTAATCATGTTTTGGGTGTACTATTCCTTTAAGGATAAAATCTCTTTTGGAATGTCAACATATTATTACCTATATTTGCTATTATTTTACATTTCGCTGGTGATCTCAAGTAGCTGGAAGTATAAAATCAATCATTCTGAGTCTTAAAAGAAAGTACTAATTCGTAGGGAAATTATATTTAAATGTCAAATCATTCTGGCTTAAACATATATATAAATGTACGCTTTATCAGACCATATTGTCCCAAAATTTAGAAAATGTAAAAAATACTGTCTTAAATCTGTGTTGAACACCTAAATTCAGCCAATCACTTTTCAACGGTCTTCTGTCAATCTGATTTGTTCGGTCATATCATCTTGATTCATGTGTTGCAGCTAATATACGCAACGGTTGAAATCAGAATCCTTTCCTTTCCCATTGAGTTGCGTCCCAGTGTTCACGGGGATGAACGTCTGTGTCTTCGGCAGGCGTAGAGCTAACAGAACTGGCAGCGTTGCGAGGCAAGGGCTCAAACATGTACGGCTGGAAGCCTTCTACACCAAACCAAGCTTCTGCCGCCCTGGCGTCCTCTTCCACAACATCTTCGTCCCCACTTTCCTCCTCTAAATAAAAAATGGATGACGGAGGAGACTCATCCACGACCTCCGACACTAAACTCTCCTCCTCTTGCATGTTTCCTCTGTCCATAGCGTTCCTTGACAGCGTCGTTTCTAAGGCACCAATTTAGTGCTACTTGGTCAAAATGGAATTTCCCATTGGGAACCTGCTAGCACTAAGTTGCTAACTGGTTAGCAAGATGCTTCCGACAAACCGGCCACAACTAAAACGCTTGCGAACCTTCCGCCACAACAATCCCGCTCCCTTGATAATCTACCGATAACATTCACTTTATCACTTGTGTAAAGTTGTGCACCACTTGGGAGAATTCGGAAATGCAACCGTTGGAATAGTCTCTTCCCTTTGACTTTAAATAAGCTAGAAATTAAGCCTTTCTTTTTTTGTTTATTACCTTAATCTGACCAGAATATTCTGAAATAGATTAGTTTCTGTAACTTTATCAGGAAAAAGAATTTGCATTATTTTTGTAGGAGGAGACTCATCCACGACCTCCGACACTAAACTCTCCTCCTCTTGCATGTTTCCTCTGTCCATAGCGTTCCTTGACAGCGTCGTTTCTAAGTCACCAATTTATTGCTACTTAGTCCCAATGGAATTTTCGCAGAAATCTAGGCAGCTTTGCGAAGTTTTTGTAAGCATATCAGCCTTTCAGGGCTCTGTTCGCCACATTACAGCACAAACGCCAGATATACTGAAAGTTGTCTAAATGACACTGACACCTCGTGAAGAGGTTCCCGCCTTAGACGCCAACACTGATCACTGCAGTTCCATTTTCTAATAAATGTTTTGAGAAATGAGAAAGATATCTGTGCAATGCAAATTAAAAAAATATTTATTGTAAAGTATGTAATAATTTCATATTTAAAGCGCTTTCAGAAGTTTGAATTCTGAATATGTCCGGACTTTTCCTTTGAAGTTAAATTTCGGTCTACAGGTGTAATCAAATCAATAGACTTTAGAAGCGTAACTGTTGCTAAACATTAATGTGAGGGTGGGGGTTATAAAACGACTGTAAAACATCTCTGAAATATAACAAAAAGACACATACACAAGTGAAAATAATTTAAAATTCCTACTAAATCCTCTAAAATGGACACTACTGCCAACTCAAAGCATATGATGCTCAGAGAAATTATATAGAAAACCCTCAAGTAGATAGTAGATAGTTTCAAGACTACACATATTTTTACAGTATTTACATATGACATTAATCTTTCCAGTGTAGACTTTTTAGATGTACATGAAAAGATAAATGCTGAGGATATTTATCAATGTGTAAACATGTTAAACCCTTTCAGTTTCTGCATTGTTAAAATAACTTAATGTTTGCCTCGAATGCCTTCTGGATGCAAGGATTTACTGTAATCTTTATACAGACGAGCTAAATGTCACAGAAAACTTTTAAAATGATGCTTTTCAACAGCTTTTTTATTTCTTTCCTTTGTGAAGTTCGGCAGTTTAGATAAACCACATTTTAAAGTCTGAAGAGTCTTGTGGGTGTTGTCAGCTTGTACCCCACTCTCCAGATCCTCTGAGAAACAAGCAGACTTTCCCACACGCCTAATCTTGAATCAGAATTGCTGATGAAAGACGAGCGGGATCCAAATTTAAAATACATAAACACAACCACACCTCCGCAGGATGAAAACAAATCCTCTGCTGCATCTGTATTCAGCTCACTTTGGAGTTTGAATGGAGGCTGCTCTCCTCCCCGCTGTGGCTGGAAGTAGACCATCAAGTTCATGCCAGCGTGCTGTGATCGATGCGTTTTGAATTGTGTGCAAACAAACTTAATGCATGAATGGCTCTTTAGCAGATTATATACAAGCAGGTCCAAGTGTAAACCTCCAAACCGCAGGGAAACTTGATTGGAAATACACGTGTAGTAAATAACCGCAACAAATACAACATTTTAATGGGCTTGTTCAACATACTAAATTCCTGTCATGCTGTAGAAACCCACTGTGCAGTTTACTTTCTTTGACTACGTGCAATGAAAAGG